TATAGATATAGATATAGATATAGATATTTTTTTATTTTATTTTATTGATTTTATAGAGGAAGGGAGAGGGAGAGAAAGAGATAGAAACATCAATGATGAGAGAGCACTGATCAGCTACCTCCTGCACGCCCCACACTGGGGATCAAGCCCACAACCCGGGTTTGTGCCCTGACTAGCAATTGAACCGTGATCTCCTGGTTCATAGGTTGACGCTCAACACTGAGCCACACTGGCCGGGCAAGCTTAAATTTTTATTAGGGGACTTTGAGAAGAAGACACTGTGAGACCACATCAATGCCAAAATGAGAGAGACACTGAGCAAAAAGGACACTGCTGCAGACTTTGCCCTTCTCTTCCTACTCATGCCAACGCTGCCTGACTGATTGGGAGTCACAGCTGGAGAGGGGACCTCAGTGAACTAGAAAGGGTCCCTGCCCTCAACCCATGGAGCAGTCAGAGTCAGAATGTAAATAAACACATTGTCACACACTAGAGGCATAGGGGGATACACAGGAGAATGACTCAACGATTGAAGAGAAGAGATGGTATTTGGCCTAGGCCTAAAAAGATGGGGGCGTTTCACCAGATTTAGAATGAGCATGGGCAAAAGCATGGAGGAAATGTAGTGTGCTCAAGGCATAGAGTATTTGATATGACCAGAATATAGGTGCTTCAACAGGTAATGAGTCTAATGAGCAGCGACAGGCCAGATCAAGGTCTGGAAATCCAGGTAGAAGAGTTTAGTCTGAAGGCCATGGGGAGTCACTGAAACATAAACACAGACTAGCATATCTTGATTTGTCTATAAGAAAGAACTGATACCCAGATGAGTAGGGATGGAGGGTAAAAGCAGAGATGGTGAGGGCTGGCTTAGGGCAAGAAGACCACAGTGGTGAGAAGGGAGAGGAAGTCTGGGAGATAAATGGAGGAGGCCGGACGTGGTGGTGACTCACTGAGCTTGGGGGAGAGGCCTGGGGGTGAGTGAGGCTGTGATGCAGTGGTAACCATTGCAGGCTCTGGAAGCAGAGGAGCTATTTGGAAGAGAGGGAGACTAGTGTGAAGTGCCTGTGGGTTACCAGGTTCTAGCCTATCTTCTTTCTTGGTTTAGTTCACAGTGTGCTTGCGTCGGGAAGGGCAGACTGTGTACCAGCAAGTCCTGTCCGTGGAGCGCCCAAGTGTCTTGCGCAGCTGGAACTGGGGCCTGTGTGGGTTCTTTGCATTCTACCATGCCCTCTATCCCCGAGCCTGGACTGTTTATCAGCTTCCTGGCCAGAATGTCACCCTCACCTGCCGCCAGATCACACCCATCTTGCCCCATGACTACCAGGTGAGATTCCCTGTGTTTCCTCCATTGTCCTCCCTTCCCTGGGATCTGTCTCTTGGAAATTCCATGACCTGTGAAAGGGATTGGAGCATGAACATCATACTGGTTTTCCAGGACCACTGCCCAACTGGTCTTCTGTCTCCTGGTAGGTAGCCTGCCTGGGAATATGGGGAGATGCTAGTGGAAATCAAGAATATTTTGGGAGCCGAAACCGGTTTGGCTCGGTGGATGGAGCATCGGCCTGCGGACTGAAGGGTCCCAGGTTCGATTCCGGTCAGGGACATGTACCTGGGTTGCGGGCACATCCCCAGTGGGAGATGTGCAGGAGGCAGCTGATCGATGTTTCTCTCTCATCGATGTTTCTAACTCTCTATCTCTCTCCCTTCCTCTCTGTAAAGAATCAATAAAATATATTTTAAAAAAAAAAGAATATTTTGGGAGGCCCGGGCAGTGTGGCTCAGTAAGTTCAGCATCAGCCCATGCAGCAGTTCACTGGTTTGATTCCCGGTCAGGTTTGATTCCTGGGTTGCAGGCTTGATCCCTGGTAGGGGGCATGCAGGAGGCAGCCGATTGATGTTTCTCTCTTATCAATGGTTCTATCTCTCTCCCTCTCCTCTCCCTCAATTTGAAAAAAAAAAAAAATTAAAAAGAATATATTGGGAGTATTTGAGTCAGGTCCTTGGTACAAGGCTTGATCATGGGGAGTGGGCCCAGGAGGAGCCACACTGAGACCATCTGAGTCTGATCTCTTGTTCCCAGGACAGCAGTCTGCCTGTAGGAGTCTTTGTGTGGGATGTGGAAAATGAAGGTGATGAAGCCCTGGATGTGTCCATCATGTTCTCCATGCGGAATGGACTGGGAGGTGGGGACGATGCTTCAGGGGGTTTGTGGAATGAACCCTTCTGTCTGGAGCGTAATGGGGAGACCATACGGGGGCTGCTGCTGCATCATCCAACCCTTCCAAATCCCTACACGATGGCTGTGGCTGCACGACTCACGGTACGGAGCCGCCTGTCCTATACTATACCTTAACCTGCAACCCCTACTCCCAGCCAGCCCCAGAGCCCACCCCATCCCACCATGGTCTCTTCATTTCCTAAACTCCTGAGTCCCACTCTCACCACAGCCCATAAGCCTGTGGAACTTGGAGGAGGTGGGAATATGTAACAGGAGCTTGAGCAGTTTGGAAGCCAGCATTCTTTGGAGCTTCCCTTCACAGCTTTTGGCCCTTTAACAGGCAGACACGACGGTAACCCACATCACAGCTTTTGACCCTGACGGCACTGGGCAGCAGGTGTGGCAGGATCTACTTCAGGATGGACAGCTGGACTCCCCCGCTGGTGATGGGGGGGTCTAACAGGGAGGTGGTGGGAAAAGAGATTGTCCCTGTCTTGAGAGCAGGGTGGGAGGCCTGGTAATGAATTGGCCTTGCTCCCGTCTTAGGGATCCTTGGGGATGAAGGAGGTGTCTGTGCTGATTCCTCTGTGCTTCTCTCAGGTCGAAGCACCCTCTCGCAGAAAGGGGTAGGCATCGCTGGGGCTGTGTGTGTTACGAGTAAGCTGCCACCTCGAGGCCGGTGCCGCCTGGAGTTCTCACTGGCCTGGGACATGCCCAGAATCATGTTTGGAGCTCAGGGCCAGGTCTACTACAGGTGAGGGGACAGAGAATAGGGATCCAAGGTGGTAGGGTGTGACCTGGAGCCCATGTTCTTACCCCTCCCCTTTCTTCTCACCCCAGGCGATACACAAGGTTCTTTGGCTCAGATGGTGATGCAGCACCTGCCCTTAGTCACTATGCACTGTGCCAATACGCAGACTGGGAAGAGAGGATCTCAGCTTGGCAGAGCCCAGTATTGGATGACAGGTGTCAATGGGCCATCTCTTCCCTTCCTCCCAGGCACTCACTCTCCAATTGGGGCTCCTTAATTCACTCTCCACCCACCAAAGTCAGCAGAGTAGAGCTGGGATTCACTTGGTGCCCCCACTCAACTGAACCCCAGAGTCCTTCCTTTCCTGGGAGGTCCACACTTATTAGACCACTCCCTCCTGACTCCCCAGGTCCCTGCCTGCCTGGTACAAATCTGCGCTCTTCAATGAACTCTACTTCCTGGCTGATGGAGGCACAGTATGGCTGGAAGTTCCTGAGGACTCCCTACCAGAGGAGCTGGGAGGGAACATGTGTCAGCTCCGCCCCCTCCTCACGGAGTATGGTCGATTTGGCTACCTTGAAGGTACGAGCTGCTGGTGGCCATAGTATGGCAGGCCGTATCTGTGAGGCCAGTTAGTGCCCTACCACCAGGCAGGACGGTGAGTGTTGCCTGCCCAGGTCATTGGTTGGGATGAGGGGTAACTGGCAGGTATAGAGTGTGACAGTGCCCCACCCCCAACTCCAGAGGACAAGCTAGGTAGGGAGGGGAATACGAAGAGGAATTCTGGCAACAGTGTGTATCCCTCCTTCCTCCAGGCCAGGAATATCGCATGTACAACACATATGATGTCCACTTCTACGCTTCCTTCGCCCTCATCATGCTATGGCCCAAACTCGAGCTCAGCCTGCAGTATGACATGGGTGAGGGTCTCTTTTGTGCCTCTTCTGCCCCCTTAGCTTCTCCTGACCCCTGAACCTTTGTGGTCCCTCACATTGTCTTTTTCCCCCAACATAACCTGTACCCTATTTACTGGTTTCCTTCTGGGGTCACACACAGCTCTACACCACCCCAAGACTGCCCATTCTCCCCGCGCCCCCCACAACTTGTATGTTTGCTCCCCCAGCTCTGGCCACACTTGGGGAAGACCTGACATGGCGACGGTACCTGATGAGTGGGGTAATGGCACCTGTGAAAAGGAGGAATGTCATCCCCCATGATATTGGGGACCCAGGTAAAAATCCTTCCACCTCAAGGTCAGCTTCCCTCCCTCTTCCCTACCACCAACACAAATAAACCAGGTTCCCTTCCCTCCTGCAGATGACGAGCCATGGCTCCGGGTCAATGCGTATGTGATCCATGATACTGCTGACTGGAAAGACCTGAATTTGAAGTTTGTGCTGCAGGTTTATCGGGACTATTACCTGACAGGGGACCAGGGCTTCCTGAGGGACATGTGGCCTGTGTGTCTGGTAAGGGATGCATGTACAGGGGCATGACTGGTGTTTGGGGAGAGATAGCTGGCTGTCTTTCCTTAGTATCTAGGTCTTCACTCTCTTGGTCCCTCTCTAGGCCGTGATGGAGTCTGAAATGAAGTTTGACAAGGACCAAGATGGACTCATTGAAAATGGAGGCTATGCAGACCAGACCTATGACGCTTGGGTCACCACAGGCCCCAGGTTGGGGGACAGGGATTTACAGGGGACCTGAGATGGCAACTAAGCACTAAGGGACTGTGGGCTCAAGGAAGGGTGACTCATTGCCTGTTATATAGCATGGGAATGGCTGGAGCTGCCAAGTCTGACCCCTAAACCCATTTTCCTGATCAGTGCTTATTGTGGAGGACTGTGGCTGGCAGCTGTGGCTATGATGGTCCAGATGGCTGCTCTGTGTGGGACACAGGACATTCGAGATAAGTTTTCTTCCATCCTTAGCCGGGGCCAGCAAGCCTATGAGAGACTGCTATGGAATGGTGAGTTGGGGGATTCCTAAGGAGTCTTAAGGCAGCTGTGGGAACACAAAGAGACTTACTTTTGCCCTCCCTCCACTCCAGGCCGCTATTACAACTATGATTGCAGCTCTCGGCCTCAGTCCTGTAGCATCATGTCTGACCAGTGTGCTGGCCAGTGGTTCCTGAGGGCTAGTGGCCTAGGAGAAGGAGAAACTGAGGTGAGAGAGACTAGGAGGAGGAACCAGGTGGGTTTTTCTTGGAAGAAGCAAGTTTAAGAGACTGTTTCTGCCTTTGCCCCTCTAGGTATTTCCTACCCAACACGTGGTTCGTGCTCTCCAAACTATCTTTGAATTCAATGTCCAGGCCTTTGCAGGAGGGACCATGGGGGCTGTGAATGGGATGCAGCCCCAGGGTGTCCCTGATAGATCCAGTGTCCAGTCTGATGAAGTCTGGGTGGGCGTGGTCTATGGGCTGGCAGCCACCATGATCCAGGAGGTAATGCACTGCCTTCCCCATCTCTCCCCCGTCTGTCTCATGGCCCAGCACTTCCTCAGCCCTCAGTTATTTGTACTGCCTAACCCATGCCATCTTATTCACCTAGAAAGCCTCCCTCTTTCCCCTGGCATGCATTCCATCTCCTGCCTTCAGTCATCTGCCTGTGGGTTAAATTTATCTCCCCCGTTAGCTGGGAACTGCCTGAGGGCAGAGACCCCATTGCCTCCTTCTGTCCAGTTAAAGAGACTATTCAGGGGGTGCCAACTAATGTGACTGCCATCTCTCCCTACAGGGCCTGACTTGCGAGGGCTTCCAGACAGCTGAAGGCTGCTACCGTACTGTGTGGGAGCGCCTGGGCCTGGGCTTCCAGACCCCGGAGGCATACTGCCAAAAGCGAGTGTTCCGCTCTCTGGCCTACATGCGGCCACTGAGCATCTGGGCCATGCAGCTGGCCCTGCAGCAGCAGCATAAAAAGGCTGAGCTCCAAACATCCAGGGCACAGGACTAAGCACAGGGTCTAAACTCGGACCAAAGGAAGTCATGGCAAACCCGAGTCCAGAGTGAGCCCCCTGAACTGTGGGAGGGAGGCACTAACATAAATCCCACATGGCATTTGCTCTTCCCTAGCCCCCGTCTTCTGCAACCCTGAGCCACTAGGACAATCATGCTCCCCTCCCCTTCTCCCCACCAACTCACACCAGTAAAGGGGTCGAGGGTAACCCAGGCATCAGAATCACTTACTTATTTATTTCCTCATCCCATCCCCTCACTGCATGAAATGTTCAAGGTCAATTGATTCCCCCAGGTCCATTCATGGGGTGATAGACATACATGGGTACAAATAAAAGACCCAGAAAGATGGTAAGTGTGGTGTGTTTGAGCCCTAAGGCATCCTGACGGGGCACAGATGCTAAAACTAGCCTTCTCGTATTCCTTTTCATTTGGCCTCCCATCTAGCCTGAGTATCTGCCCTGCAAGATAACAGATATGGGGCTGTGGGCAGGGAGCCATTCCCTTTCTCTTGTGAGATTTGCATGCAGGGGAACGATGGGACCCAGGGAGGCGAACTTTGAAAAGGGATCAGGGAGTGGCAACTTCAGGGGAGGCTCTGTGCCAGGAGCCTGAGGCATGTGGGAGGGCAGGCAGCAAGAGTTGCCAGGAGCCTGGAGCTCATGGTCTGAGCTATCCTTTGGTTCCTCCGACTGCAGGACAGACAGCTCCAGCTGATGAGGGAGGGCACGAAGCTGGCGGGATAATACTGAGAAGAAAAAGACTCTTTAGAAGCAGGCCAGGCTTCTCCCACTAGTTCACCCATAATACTATCTTCAAGCCCCTCACCTCCACGCTCAGCTGGCAGGCTCCCCCTGGTGCCAGAGGAGTACATAGCAGGTACAAGTGCGAGACAGAAGGAGAACAGTAGGACCTGGAACACAAGAAAAGGAAATGATGAAGAGCTCTGGATTGCACCCATCCCTGCACCTGGAAGGATCTCTCCTTCCATCACCATCCTTACCAGGACACAGGTGCTGCTGCTGCTGCTGGTTTTGTTAGATATCTCAATCACCATGGCCTGGAGTCTCCTCAACTGATCCAGGAGGGACCTAGAAGAAGAGGGGACAGTGAGCAGCCCTATCCTGGCACCCTGAGATACAATGAAACCTTTCTGTTAAAGCCACCCCTCCATCTGTGCACTAGAGCCTCTAAAAATTTAAATTTGCCCTAACCGGTTTGGCTCAGTGGATGGAGCATCGGCCTGTGGACTGAAAGGTCCCGGGTTCGATTCCGGTCAAGGGCATGTACCTTGGTTGCGGGCACATCCCCAGTAGAAGGTGTGCAGGAGGCAGCTGGTCGATGTTTCTCTCTCATCGATGTTTCTAACTCTCTATCCCTCTCCTGTCCTCTCTGTAAAAAATCAATAAAATATATTTTTAAAAAAATTTTAAATTTAATAACATGTATACCTCCTGAGAGACCTAGAAACAGAGTAATTCTCTTTATGTCCTATTTTTACAAATGACTTCCTCCTCTCTGTGGACAAAATGCCTAAAGTTCCTCATTAAAACAAATACACACCTCTGCCCTGCCCTGACTTAAACTCCTTTGCAAATAGTCAGTGGTTCTACACTGCCTAATTAGCTACACACATAACCCTCACCAGGCAGTCTAGATTCTCTACCTCTGGCCCAACTTACCTATGTTAGGGTTCCAGCCAAACTGAACTACTGTGTTCTCTCCCTACAACGCTCCTCTCCTTCTATACCCCCACCCCAACTCCTAGAGTCCTATCTATTATTAAATGTCATCTGCCCTATGAGGTCTTTCTTTCTCTTTTTTAAAAATATATTTTTATTGATTTCAGAGAGGGGGAGAGAAACATCCATGATGAGAGAGAATCACTGACTGGCTGCCTCCTGCACGCCCCACACTGGGGGTCGAACCCACAACCTGGGTATGTGCCCTGAACAGGAACTGAACTGTGACCTGGTTCATAGGTCAAAACTCAACCACTGAGCCACTCCAGCTGGGCTTTCTTGTCTTTCTTGATACTTAACTTATCCTTCGTTATGTGTGAATTTATTCCCCATTACTGTGAGCTTAGAATCAGAAACCAAATAAGGGCAAAGAATCAGACCTTGCATGTGGGAGCTGCCCAGTTGGAAATCAAGTGTGGAGCAGGAAAAAAGTGAGACAGCAGGAGAGGGAGTGATGTTATAGAGAGGTGCTTACAGGTTCTGCTCCTCCAGGAGCTGTACTTTGTTCTGTAGCTCCAGATTCTGGGCTGTGTATTTCAAGACCCTGAGGGAATAACAGGGATGTGGGGATATGGCCTGGCTCCTCTCTTCAAAAACCTCCCACTTCCAACTACTTCTGTTCCCCCAACCCCAGAGTCCCTCTCCCGTCATACCTGCTCTCTAAACCCCCCACATACACCTTCTTCTTCCTGCGGCTCTCCTGAGCAGACTTTTTATTTCGAATCTTCCTCCGCACTCGTTTCAGAACTTGTTCCTCCATCTGAGAGAATGAATACAAGGAAAGGGGGTCTCAGACCAGAGTTGGAAGGTAACTGAGTTCAATCATCTTCCCGATGCAGGAATCCCTTCTACAGCCTCCCTTACCAATAGGCACTCTGGTTCTGACTGAATGCCTCCGAGGACCCGCTGTTAACACCCTCACAAGCCAGACCATTTTCAACAATTTTATTAATTAAAAATCTTCCTTATTCTGAGCCAATTCCTGCCTTCCATCCATTGTACTTACCTAATACCTACTCTCTGGGCCATATAGAACAAATTAATGGTCCTTAGCTATTTTAGGGCACTCAACATTTCCTAAATTAATCTGGGCAAAAATTTACCTCATTTATCTCCTCAGAATGGACCACATCCTTTTAATATCTGGGCTCAAACCTGGACAGTAAGATGTGGTCTAGCCAGTGTAATGAAGAACAAGACAGGAACTGCCCTTCTAGAGGCAATACCTCTTAATATAGCCTCCAAACCCCACTCACCTTCTTAGTAACCATATCACAATGCTGATTCATGCTTTGAAGAAATTAAAATTTCTTAATCTTTGCCAGTAAATAATGATTGCATCATAGTATATCATGCTTGTGAAGCTGCCACTCATTCTTGCTATACTACTTAATCCAGCCTAAAAACTTAACTCTACCTTTCAGCTATAGATGGATTACCGTGAAGCCAGTGAAGTCTAAGTGTCAGGACCCCTTGTTTGCAGTCCTTTCCAAGTCCCTATACTACTAACGCACTAATACTTTTGAATTCTTCTTAAAGAGAACACAAATTCGTGTAAGCCCCACAAAACCAGGATCTCCTCCTGCAGCTAGCATACTAACTACATCCCCGTTTCCTATTAACAGCAAATTTGCTAAATTTCTCACTTCAGTCCTTTTTCAAGTTACTGATAAAATTAACAGAACTGGCCTACTTGGGACTCACAACCCCCCTCCAGCCTTTACTCAACCGATGGAAGGCCTACCTTCGTGAGAGGCAGCGTTCCAGGCAGAGTAAGCCCCTCCTGCTCCAATAGCCGCTTTTCCTCATCTGTCAGGATCAGCCCAACAACCTCCTGGGGTTAGGAAAGGTGGGCAGCAGAGGAGCAAGGGGATGTCAGAGAGGAGTGAGGGATCCGGCCCCACCTCCGCAATGTGGGAATAATCCTCCTGAAAATCAAGTCCAGTACCTGCTCTTCCGGGTCCTCCACGTGCAGGGGAGTCATCTGGACCCCCTCTTTTCCACAGCTCCCACTATCTGCAAAAGGGAAAGTGAATAGCCAGGCCCTTGAGTCCTCTCCTTCCCCCCAAACTTCACTATTTCATGCTCACCTAGATCTATGGAAACATGTTCTTGGGAGAGAGAGTAGGTGTGGTCATGGTGGACAAGACAGGGATTAGAGTTGCTGAAAATGTTCAACGACGCTGGGGGGCTCGGCAGGGAGCGCAGGAAATCCTCGACGTCCCAATCGCTCAGTGCCTGCACGGGGTTCAAATGAACAGTCCTCGACTTATCACCACCCATGCCCCACGAACACCCCGGCCCGCGCCGACCGGCCTCACAGCCCCCACCCACCTCAGAAAGCGGCAACTCCCAGTCCCGCGGAGCCTCCAAGACCTCATTGGGCGCCGCCCCCAAATCTCCGCTTTCCCCTAGCAGGAAGCCCAGCAGGTCCTGTTCACCCGGGTCCAACGCCAGCTCCATATGGGAAATCTACCGGGAAAAATGGACATAAACACAGGAGTTCAGCCCTCCACCTGGCCCCAACCCCGAATCCCAGGCACAACACCCACCGACGGTCAGCCGGCTCCACCTAACCGATACTCCCTCTTCAGCCGGCTTTCCGCCTCCCAGTCTCGATTTTCCTCAGCTTCCAACACAGCGGAAGTGACGCAGACCCCGAGGCATTCTGGGAGTTGGAGTTCCCGGGAACGCGGAAGTGGCCTACGTGCGGCGCCACGTCCCGGGAGCTATGCAAATAAAGGGGACGTCCCTGCAGCTTCCTCACACCCTGAGGGCGGGCATTCTGCGCCCCCGGCTCCGCCTGCGCCCCGGGCTAAGGAAACGGAGGATCAGAGACTAAAGGGGAACTCGAGCGCAGTCGGAGCGTTTTTCCCCCGGATTGCGCCGCACCCTCGCTTCCTGCCGGGAGAGGTGGCCCGTCTTCGGTGGGATCCCGAGCACCGAGAGCTGGGGCCAGAGCAGCTTCCTGAAGTCCCCGCAACCATAGAGCGCGGGCCCAGGGCGCCGCCCACGGGTGGGGGACGTTCCGGGGACGGAAGTGGCCCAGAGAGTGCCGAAGGGAGGGCGAGGCCGGATCTCGGGAGCCACCGGGAGAACGAGCCGGCTAGCGGGCCGGCGGGCGGGGCATAAGCCAGGCAGCGCAGGTACGTCCGACCGGGCCGAGCGGGAGCGTTTGGGTGGGGCCGCGAGGCCAGGCGCGGGAGGCGCGCGGGCGGGGCCCCTGACTCCTGCGCCTGCTGTTTCGGGGCTTGGTGGAGAGGTCAGCGTCCAGTCTATTTTGGCTTGGGCTCGGAATTTAAAGTAGATCCTTTTGGGGAGCCAGGCCCTTTCTGGGAGCGATCCTCTGACTCAGATGAGTTTGGGGAGGGCGGGGAGTGGGGTGACAGTGAGGTGCAGGGTGGGGGTCGGCTTTGAGGTTTGCTGATAGCCGGTATGTGGGTAGGAGAGCTTTGGGTGAGCCTGGGATGAGGTGGAATTGGGTTGAGGAATCAAGGTTAGCTTTAGAAGTTATAGAGCCCGGGTTAAACATTTAGAGTTACTAGTATGTCAGGTCGGTTTGATGTGTGCAAAGTTTGGATTAAGGTCACTATTTTGTGTTCTAGGATGGCCAACCGTAAGTCAGCGTTCAGGGTCAACAACAGGAACTGGTTAGGAATTCAGTTTTTAGGGATTAGAGAACCATGGCATGGTCAGTTTTAGGACTAAATAGTGGAGGGATGGGCCAGGAAAGGGATGAATGTCAAAGCCAGTGTGGGGAAACAGGAAACAAATTAGGGTCAAGGTTAATGTTAGGAATTAGGGTCAGTTCTAGAGGTGGTGGTTGAGGTCAGGGTAGATGACCTGAGGCAAGTAAAATTGAAGAAGTTGACAGTAGCAAATCTGAGCTTTCCCATCATTTCATAGCACTCTCCCACCATTTTCACTCACTCATTCATCTGCATACTTCTTCGTCGTCTGCTGAATACCCTACACCCAGCCCAACAGAACTAGTCCATGCTCTGTGCCACCCCCTGGTTCTAAGCCTCCTTAATTTCTTGGTCTAGTTGTAGATCCCCTTCCCCCACTCCCCAAACAGAAAAGAGGAAATGAGACCCAAAGAGGAAACTGGGTCTTGCAGATCCCACGCCCAGCCAGGCCACTGACCACACCCCCAAGTCATTCCCAGCATGACCCTGCCACTGACCATAGCACTGTCCCTTACGCAGTCGGACCCAGCCACTGGCTGCAGCCCATCCCCCCTCCACCACTCCAGCTTTACTTAGACACTTCCAGTGTCCCTTCACTCTTCCTCCATCCCAGCCTAATTTAGCCACTGACCACAGCCCCATCTCTTCTCAGCCTTCTGTAGCCTGACCTAGCCTGTGACCTCACTTCATCATTCCCTGATTTAGCCACTGTCCACATAATTATTCTTCCCCTTCTCCCAGCCTGATCCGGTGACTGATTATCTACTACCATCTTCCCTAGCCTTCCTCTATAACCTTGTCTTCCCCATTTCCAGCCCAATACAGTCACTAACCCCATCCCCCTTTTTTTTCTTTTTTTAATTTTAAGGGAAGGTATGTACATGCTTTTGATTTTTTTAAAAATTACAGTTGGCATACAGTAATTTCAGGTGTGCCACAGGGTGTTTAGGCATTTATATACCTTACAAAGTGGTCACACCAATAAGTCCAGTACCCATCAGGCACAGTGCACTAACCTTCTGCCCCTACCTAGTGCTAACCACATCCCATCCCCTTTTCCCCAAAGGCTAACCACATCCCCTGACCACAGCCTCATCTTCACATTCCCAGCTCAGCCTGATCCTTCCTTTCCCCCTTCCCAGTTTCTTACCTAAACTCAAGCTTCCCCAGCTACAGAGTGGCTGTTAATGACAAGAAGCCAGGCCCTTTGGGTTCTGGGAAACCCAGCCTGACTTTGGGTTCTGGTCCCTGATAGATGACAGAACATACTGTCATCAGGTCCTGTCTATTCTACCTCTTAAACTTCCTAATGAGTGACATCCTTCTCTCCACTGTTCTATCTCTGGCTTCATTACCTCTCACTTATGCAAATGCAGTATCTTTCTAATCTCGAAGGTTATTTTTCTAAAGTCCAGTTCTGGAATTTTCCTTCTCTACTCACAGCCTCCCTTAGCCTCCTGTTACCCTCCAGTAGGTCAGATCCCTCATACGTCTCTCTAGTCCTCCCTGGCCTTTTCATCTAACCCTGACTTGCCCATCACTGCTCCCTTGCAGGTACCCTGTGCTTCAGCCAGCCTGTCTACTCACTTCCCTGAATGCTCCTACGTGATTTCCTGCTTCTTCACCTTTGCTTATGCTATTCTCTCTGCCTGGAATGCTACCCCTGACTCATCTGCAGCTGGTATAGTGGAGAGCTTGGGCTTTGGAGTCAGAGAGACCTGGGTTCGGATCGTGGCTTCACAACTTAAGTGTGTGACTTTGGACAAGTACCTTGAACAAGTGTTTAACGTCTTGGAACCTCAGTTTTATAATCTGTAAAAATGGAAATAATGACACCTACCTTGCAGGGTTGTTGTAAGGATTAAATGAAATTATGTATACAAAGCAATGGACATATAGTTAATAAAAAGCTAGATCGCTGTTATTTCTATATTACCTTTATTTTTTTTAAATCCTAACGTCTAAGAACATTTTTCATGGAGACATTTTGGTCCTCCTTCCCTAACCTAAAGGGATCCTCCCCTGAGCACACACCTCTTGGCTTTTACCACATCCTGCCCTCTGGTACAATTCTGTGCTTAACTTATCCACTACTCTGACTGGGAGCCCCTTGAGAGCAAAAACTAGGGAGGGCTTATCTGGGTTCCCAGGGTCTTCCCTACAGCAGGACTTCAGAAATGCTTGCTGGGTGAATGGAGGGAGGATAGCTACATAATGGGAGGAGAGATGTGGGGCGACAGTTGTGCTTGCTGATAGAGGTGTATTTGTGGGGAAGCTGTGTGTGTGGGATGAGGTCTTTATGGGAAGATAATGTGGTTGTGATGGGATCTGTGTAGGGGCTGTGTGTTTGAGATAATGTGTATCTACAGACAGTGTAAGTAGCTTTGTGGGAAAAAGCCCTGTGCGTAGGCTCTCTTGGGGTACGTTTGGGGAGAATGAATATGCATGGGTAAGGGTATAGGTGAGGAGAGGCTCTGTTGGGAGAGGTCAGGTCCAGACCTTTAGCTGCCCAGTCCAGCCCTAAATGAGCCTCCAGCAACTTGAGGCCGGATATGTCAGTCTCACCCACAACCCTCACCACTCCCCCTCCTCGCGGTTGCGGACTCAGAAGCCAAATTTGGTAACAGACTGAGTGTTGCTCCCCCAACCCTCTTCCATTCTGACTCTGTCTTTAGCTTTCTCTCCCCCTTTGTCCCTCTCTCTAACTCCCTCCCTATCTTTCTGCGCCTCCGTTTGTGGGTATCTGCTCTGACTGTATTCTCTATGTGCCCCACATTCCTCATCCCCGGTATACTGACATTCCATTCCTTGCTGGGATTTGACCTCCTGTCCTCCATCCCTCTCCTCCCCCCCCCCCCCCTCCAATTGCCCAACTCCTCTGGAATGTATCTCAGGAATGTCTTGAGGGAGGAGGAGTTCCCTGGGAGGGGGCCTTGGGGGGGGGGGGTGTTGTTGTTGCGCTTCCTCCATAAAACATGGAAAGGGTAAGAAAGTTCTCAGGCCAGAGCAGGAACTAGGTAGCTTCTCCCTATACTTCCAGGGGCCTGGTTCTATGCCCTCATCACCCTCAGTTCACTCCGTTCCCTTTCCTCCCCACCCTCTGGTAACTTGTGGATGTCCACTCAGGACCAGCCTGAGAGTAGGGGTAGGGATGACTCAACTCCCTTATCGGGGTCTCACCAGAGGTTTCCGTACTTGAGGAAGAAGGGGGTGCCCATATGTCCGGAGGAAATGGGGGGAGATGTGCAATTTCAGCTTTGGGTGGAGGGTCCTTTCAGTCTTGCCCTCGGCTCCTCAGACTCCTCCACCAGCTTCGCTCCAGTCCTCCAGAGCCCCCACATCCAGGTCTGTCCACCTCCTGGGAGAAGTGCCCGAGGAACGGGGAGGTGGGCAGAGAGCTGGACTGGGAGACGGGGAGGGTGCTCTCTTGCTTGGGAGTAAAGTTAGAGAGCGAGCTGTGGTTTCCTCTCTTTTGAGACTCTTGGCTGTTGAGGATGTCGAAATGGTCCATTAGACCCTAACCCAGGCCCTTCCCTGTCTCCTGTTTCTACCTAAATTTTCAATCCCCCACACCCCATCCTTTCTAATTTCTTCACCCCCCAAAAATATACCCCTCTCAACTTCCCTGGTACTCAACTATCTTCTGCATCCCAACACTCCTAATTCTGCTTCCAACTTTGCCCCTGATCCTGCTATCCCACTTGGGGCTAGCAGTTTACCAGGAGGGGACCGGGCAGCCTGGATGTGCTCACTCGGTTAAGAAGCCAATCCCCTCACGGAGCTGGGTCACATCATCAGCTGCCAGGCAGACTTGCCTTGCTGTGCACTGTGCGCCACCTGCCGCCTCTAGTGGCTCCTCCAGCCCACTAAGAGTTGGTGCCAGGAGGGCGGCGGCCGGCAGGTTGGGACTAGTATCCTGAGAAGCACTGAAAATACCATCGGGGAGGGAGCGGAGCCGGAGGGAGAGTCTGAGAAGGACTTACTGAAGAGGAGAGTGTGGGAGGGGTTGTGAGGGGTTGTTGACTTAGAAGGAGCCGGGACTGGGTTAGAAGAACCGGGCTCTTCCTCTGACCTGCCTTGAAACTACACCCCCCCCCCCCCATCTTCCACAGGGTCTGATTCTTTCTGCAAAATTGAAGAGTTGACTAGATAATTTCTGAGATCCCTTTGGATTGGAGGGTCATTATTCTAGCTTGATTGCCAGGGAAGCCAAATATGGGCGAAGCTCCTTGCACATCTCAAGTTAGAGGAAAGCTGGGACAGGAGTGCGTCTAGGTGGCTTGAACAGCCAGTATTTGGTCTTCCTGCCAAACTAGCTGGACTCAGTGTTTGCAGGCTTCAAAAGCCCTTGGGAATTATCTAATGTCATATCTTCAGGTTGTAGAGAAGGAAGCTGAAGCTGTGAGAGAGAAGGTCACACAATGAGTCAGGGCAGAGCTCTGAAAATCCCAGACAGGGAAAAGCCAGCAAGCAGGATTCCGTGTGAGACAGAGAGAAAAAGGCTGAACCCGGAAAAGATGAAAACAAGGCAGAGTCGGGCTGGGAAAGGAGCAGAGACAAGGAGCAAGAAAGAGACACTTGGAAGAAAGAAAGGAGGCACAGATTCTAGTGGTGAGGACAGGCGCCGTCCCAGGTAACATGGAATCCCAGACCTGCTCTTGCACCTTGCACACCAGCTTCTCCTTCAGATGTCTTAGATGGTTAGGACTGGTCCTTTTGATGTAACTAACCTTTCACTCTTTAAAATTACTAAATAAAACAAAAACAGCCTCATTACTGTCTGTTTTGGTGAGTCCCTTTCAAAAACACCCCTCCCTGGGACTCCATATGGGAGACCTTCTCTCCTCCTGTGAGGGTGTCCTAACACCCTGATGCCATGGGCCAGGTGTAGCCAGGCTGGAGAAGAGAAGCTGCCACCATGGTTGCACTTTCGCTGAAGATCAGCATTGGGAATGTGGTGAAGACGATGCAGTTCGAGCCGTCCACCATGGTGTACGATGCTTGTCGCATGATCCGTGAACGGATTCCAGAGGCACCAGCTGGACCTCGTGAGTCTGATTACCCATGTGACTGGGGCAGGATTGCTCGGTCCCTTCTGTGTTCCCAGGCTCTTAGCCTTGAGGGATGACCCTTTTGCCCCCTAAGGCTGCTCATCCCTCAGGTCTGTGCTCCATGGTTCCCGCCCTCCCCTTTTAGCCCCGAGTCCCTGAGGAACTAGTAAGGGCAGTGATGCAGCCATTCAGCCACACTGGGGTCCTCAATTCTGAGGTGATCCATCCTCTCTCTTAGCCAGCGACTTTGGGCTGTTTCTGTCCGATGATGACCCCAAAAAGGGCATATGGCTGGAGGCCGGGAAAGCTTTGGATTACTACATGCTCCGCAATGGGGTGAGTGTCACTTCATCAAGGATCACCAACATCCTCTTCCATCAACTTCCCGGTTCCACCTCCTGTTTTCAGCACCATGTCTGTTGTCTCTGACCCCTCCCATGCTCTCTGTCTATGACGAGCAGTCATAATACCCTGCCTTTGAGTGAGCTATTCTAGTCCTTCTTGTAATCTTTCCTCCCTCTGGCCGTGTTAAAAGGAAGTAATGCCTCTGGCTTAAAGTGGGCCCCTATCTCCTATTCCTGCCCCACAGGACACCATGGAGTACAGGAAGAAGCAGAGGCCCCTGAAGATCCGCATGCTGGACGGGACTGTGAAGACTATCATGGTGGATGACTCTAAGACCGTCACTGATATGCTCATGACTATCTGTGCCCGTATCGGTAAGGGCGCGGAGGGCTCAGGAGGGAGGCTCCAGCTCTGGCAAAAGACGCTACCTCCTACCCCTCCCTCTCTCCTCCCTCCAGGCATCACCAACCATGATGAATATTCTCTGGTTCGAGAGCTCATGGAAGAGAAAAAGGAGGAAGTGACAGGCACCTTACGAAAGGACAAGACCCTGCTCCGAGATGAGAAGAAGATGGAGAAACTAAAGCAGAAACTGCACACAGATGATGAGTGTAAGCAGAAGTAGAAACTAGTGGGCCCTGGAAATGGTCAGGGTGGCAGGGGTCAGCCGCTTACTGTTATTTATTGAACACCCGCTTTTGCAAGCACTGTTTCAGACACGGGGGATGCATCAGTAATCAAACAAAGTCCTATACTCACAGAACTTAGCACATGAGTGGGAGAAGGTAGGAAATGAAGAAATGAACAGACAAAAAGCCAGAGATAGCACAGGAGCCATGGGGCCCGGCACTGAGCAGACTCTGTGTCCCAGTGAACTGGCTGGACCATGGCCGCACACTGAGGGAGCAAGGAGTGGAGGAGAACGAGACGCTTCTGCTGCGGAGGAAGTTCTTCTACTCAGACCAGAATGTGGACTCCCGCGACCCTGTACAGCTGAACCTTCTCTATGTGCAGGTGTGGAGAGGATTTGCCCGGGACAGTGGAGGTGGGAGAGGGGCCAGCGAGGGGCACACAGCATTCACCTCCTTTCCCTCTGCTCTCCAGGCACGAGATGATATCCTGAATGGCTCCCACCCTGTCTCCTTTGACAAGGCCTGTGAGTTTGCTGGCTTCCAATGCCAGATCCAGTTTGGGCCCCACAATGAGCAGAAGCACAAGGCGGGCTTCCTTGAGTGAGTGACTCACGTTCCACACCCCATCAGCGCCCAGGACTCTCTGCCTTTGTGGCCCCAATAGTCCTGTCTCCATCCCAGGCCTTCTCACCCCACTTTCTCTCCTGAGGTGCCAGGGTTTGACCACATGGGTACCCTTTTAGCTCCTATCAGCCATTTGTCTCCTTACTGGCCCCATGTGGAATATGAATATAGTTCAGATCTCTTCCCCTGCTACGTATGTCTGAAGCAGGCATATAGCTTTCTTGAGATCCTCTGAGGAATTTTACTGCAGTAGCCAGAGGGAAATACAGGGTACATTTTTACTCTAGCGTCCTACAGGAATGGCCATTCTAGTGAGCACCGTCTGCTCCTGGCTCCCTGAAATCATGCTCTTGACCCTCTTTCCCTCAGGGACTGAGCCTCCAACTCAAGTTCCCTCAGTCCCTTTCCCTGTAGGGAGAGACACAGGCTGCATTCAAGAGCTAATGCTAAGTCACCTCGATTTCAGGAACAATTCGGACTCTGTTCCCTCAGAGTCTTCCTTCTCCCTAAAGCTAACACTGTGCTAGACATTTCCTCACACCCCTAGGCCCACAGTCATGGCCCTTATGTCCCTGATGCCACCCGCTACATGCTGACCCTCCCTTTTCTGGTGTAGCCTGAAGGACTTCCTGCCCAAGGAGTATGTGAAGCAGAAGGGAGAACGTAAGATCTTTCAGGTGAATGGGGACGGGAAAATGTTTGGGATGACCTGGGAGCTTTGCTGCTTAATCCTACTGACTAAATGGACCCCTGCCCCCTCCCATCTGCTCCCACCTCGTTTCTACCCACCGTGCTGTGCTCCCGCCTTTCCTGTGCCAAGAAAGCAGAAGACTTGGGCTTAAAGTCTCAGCTCCATCACTGTATTTGCCGTGGAATGCAATTCAATATTCCTGTTTTCTTTTGTTTACCTCTCACATGGCATAACAGTACCTGCCCTGCTAGGGTTGATAGGAGAAGCGTATGAGATAGTACACCTGAAATTACTGTGAAAAGTATTTCTTTGTACAAATGTAAGGTGTTGTCCGCACTCTGAATATTCAGCGCCAAAGGCCATCTGTTTGACCTGCTTCCTGACTGTCCATTCATGCCTCCAGAATGTCTGCCAGTTCCTTACCTGTGTCCCTTGAACTTCGCTCCTGCAGATCCTTTATCAGCCCCCAACGCTTCACCCTCTCACTTCTCACACTCTGCACTCCCTCACCTTTCCTTTATCCCCCTAATACTCTCCCTTACAGTTAACATCCCAACCTCACTCCTTGTCTGTGACATTATCCTCCCCAGAGTTTGCTAAATCTTTTCTCATTTCATGCTCTAAGGCACACAAGAATTGTGGACAGATGAGTGAGATTGAGGCCAAGGTACGCTACGTAAAGCTAGCCCGTTCTCTCAAGACCTACGGTGTCTCCTTCTTCCTGGTTAAGGTGGGTTGTGGACCTTCTCACTGCCCTCCTTGCTTCCACTCTCACCCTTGCCTCTCTGAAAGTCGGATCCTGCCCTCAGTCTCGTTTCCCAGCATTCTCTACCTGTTGTCAGTTCTCCACCACCACATCCCTCCCTACCCTTTGTTTTCCCTCCCTTTCCCTTTTCCCTAAAGTAGCCTTGTCCTGGGCCCACCCATAGACACCCTCGTTTAGCGCTCCTGCCCACCTCAGCACCCCCTTGTGGTCTTAATCTGAACTGACGGCTCACTTCTCATTCAACCTCTGACCTATAACACCAACACCAACAGGAAAAGATGAAAGGAAAGAACAAGCTGGTGCCCAGGCTTCTGGGCATCACTAAGGAGTGTGTGATGCGAGTGGATGAGAAGACCAAGGAGGTGATCCAGGAATGGAATCTCACCAACATCAAGCGCTGGGCTGCCTCTCCCAAGAGCTTCACCCTGGTGAGCCTGGGGGGCTCAGGGGAAAGGGCTTTGGAAATTTCAGAGAATGGGCAGCTGCAGAGGTCTTTCCACCTCCCTCGGGGCAGGTGTACTGAATGCGACTCCAGATAAAAAGGAGAACTTTGGAACTATTGCAGGAATATGGAGGTTAAAGTAGAGGAGAGACTCCTAGAGAGTTAGGTGACGTTTAAATGAAACTTATTCATTAAGATAAATAGAACAAAATTGTAAATGTTAAACTGAGATCACGGGAAATGGGGGGAGGGAAGAAAAAGGTGATAGAAAACATGCCTTCCCTCTTTCAGCAGCAACTGTGCACTGTAATATTCCCCTCTGGCTTTATATTTTGGTGTTATGAATTGAAACTGATAGCAACTTGACGAAGTGCCCTAATGAGAGAAATTAGTAAATGCTAGTTTTCAGTTTTCAAAACATGCTAACCTTCAAGTGTGGTCACTTAATGGTAAATGTTAGTGTCTTTCTAATTTTATTACCCCGAGAGAAAAGTGATTTCCTAAATAGCATGTGTAGCATAAAGACCACTCCTCAGAATAAAATATTTCCCTCCAGTGAGGGACATGGAGAAATAGGAGATTGGTGAAACTGGAGAAATAAAATGAGGCAAGCTCGTCCTAGAGGGCTGTTGGCGTGGGAAGAAACCCCACCAGCTAGACCTTGGGGCTCCCATCTTGCCCTTTTCCATCCTGGACAGATTACCAAGCTTTCCCACTGAGCCCCCCTTGTCACCCTAGGATTTCGGGGACTACCAAGATGGCTACTACTCAGTACAGACAACTGAGGGGGAGCAGATCGCACAGCTCATCGCCGGCTACATAGATATCATCCTTAAGAAGGTGAGCACTCCCCACCAGCCTTCCCTTTATCTTCCTGTACCTTCTCCCCAAGCTGCTCCGTTAGAAATGGGGACCCAGATTCTGGAAAATGGCTGAATGGGGGGAAAAAGAGTTTGCCTTTTCCTCACCTCCTCTTCCTTAACTCTTGTTCCTTTTTTCCTTTTTACAGAAAAAAAGCAAAGACCACTTTGGGATGGAGGGAGATGAGGAGTCTACTATGCTAGAGGACTCCGTGTCCCCCAAAAAGTACGAAGGGGGCCGGGCTGCTCCCATCCTTCAGGGGCGGGGAAGGCAAGCCTTGACTCCACATAGTGTGCGGGGTGTGGAATACGTAGAGCGGTCCTGTAACAAGTCGAAGGCTGTAAGGAGACCTCACACACCACCCAGACCGCAGGCCCTGCGACGGCGGTAGAGCTGGTGGGAAGGGCATGAGAGGAAGAAGGCCTGAGTGCTCCTCAGTGTGTCCCCTCTCTAGGTCGACAGTCCTTCAGCAGCAGTATAACCGGGTGGGGAAAGTGGAGCATGGCTCTGTGGCCCTGCCTGCCATCATGCGCTCTGGAGCCTCTGGTCCTGAGAACTTCCAGGTGGGCAGCATGCCACCTGCCCAGCAGCAGATTACCAGTGGCCAGATGCACCGAGGACACATGCCTCCTTTGGTAAGAGCGCCCCCACTGCCACCACAGTACTAGCCCCGCCCCCGACCGCAGCTGGGCCCAGCCCCAAGTTAGGCAGTCTCTTCCCCTCTCCCTATGTCTATTCCTCTCCCTGGCCTCCGATTCTCACATACCTTCTCTCTGTGTTCCCTCGTCCTCTCCTTGTAGACCTCGGCCCAGCAGGCACTCACGGGCACCATCAACTCCAGCATGCAGGCTGTGCAGGCCGCTCAGGCCACTCTGGATGACTTTGACACTCTGCCCCCTCTGGGTCAGGATGCTGTGAGTATGGGATGGAGGAGAGGTCAGCGGTACTGAAGCCGAGACTCCAGGGAACAGGGTTGGGGTTCATCAAAACAGAGCAGATCTTGAGGTGTGTTTCTCTTTCTCTCAGGCCTCTAAGGCCTGGCGGAAGAACAAGATGGATGAATCAAAGCATGAGATCCACTCCCAGGTAGATGCCATCACAGCCGGTACTGCCTCCGTGGTGAACCTGACAGCAGGTAGGCTGCACGCCGAGCTCACTGTGTGGTGGGTTAGGAGGAGGGCGAGCGTGTGCACGCACGAGTATGACAGGCTCGGGTGTGACTGCACCTTGACTCACGGAAGGGACAGTGTGACGTCTCTCTCAGGACACGTGTGTGACTGGGTGCCTGTGACTGCTCCTTCCCAGCCGTCCTCTAGTCTGCCCTGCCTCTCACACATGCTCCCCTTCCTCCTCTCAGGGGACCCTGCTGAGACAGACTATACTGCAGTGGGCTGCGCAGTCACCACCATCTCCTCCAACCTGACGGAGATGTCCCGTGGCGTGAAGCTGCTGGCCGCCCTGCTGGAGGATGAAGGCGGCAGTGGCCGTCCCCTGCTGCAGGCAGCCAAGGGCCTCGCAGGCGCAGTGTCAGAACTGCTGCGCAGCGCCCAGCCGGCCAGCGCTGAGGTCAGGGGCCATGGGATGGAGCTGAGGAGGACAGAGGGTTCAAGCCCAAGGAAGAGGGGAAATTCTAGCCACAGGATGAAAGTGTGGGAGCCCTGAGCACGTAGGACCCATGGGCGTGTGGGCAGGGATTGGGCAGCTTCTGACTGGTGTTCACTCTCCACAGCCCCGTCAGAACCTGCTGCAAGCAGCTGGGAACGTGGGCCAGGCCAGTGGGGAGCTGTTGCAGCAAATTGGGGAAAGTGATACTGACCCCCACTTCCAGGTTGGTGACTTACCCAACCCCCAGAACCCCAGCTCCTAGGAGGTGACCTCTGATCCTGAGTCCAGCTCCTAGCCCTGCTCTCTGAATTGACCCCTCAGAGCTAACCTGAACCTGTCTCCAGGAATGATACTGGGAACCTCCAATCCTTTTTTAGGGGATGAGAATTCAGAACCTCTGAATCCAAACTTAACCTACTAACTAGTTCACCCTTGGTCCTCATTGATGATACTTTTTAGCCACCTGTCCTCTTTTCCCTATCTTTCCCATACATAACCCTGGCCCTCACTCGAGGACATCTTAAACCCCTGCCGTCCTTTAGGCCTTACCACCCTGAGGACACTGTTCCTCTAGCCCCTTCCCCACCCCGTGCCAGTTTCCAGTTCCCTCAGTTGACTTGTCATCCTGGATTTCCCATGCAGATATGTGCACCCAGAGGGTCTGGGGTTCGATCTCCCCACGATCCCCCCACGGTAACGGCCTCTGGCCTGGGCCTTCCCAGCTTTGTCCTCTGAGCCGCATACACTCGCTTCTGCACCTCTCCCCCAGCCTCCTGGGGAGCAGGACATGATGGGAGATGGGGAGGCAGGGCTTGGGAAATGGGATCAGGGAGGGTAGTGCAGGGACTTGTTCCCAAGACTCCAGGGTGACTGCTCCCAAGATGGAGAAGAAATGAAGAAAAGAAGCTGGGGATGAGAGGGGCCCTCTAATTACCTCCTCTGTCCACCCCTGTAACAGTGCTGCCCTTCCCTCCCATCGCCGACCGAGTGTATCCGCCTCGCACATTTCTCCCTTGGGTGTAGGCTCTGTTTCTCTCGGTGTGGGTTCTGTCCTCCTGGGCGCTCAGGGCAGGGGCTTGGGGTAGGTTCTGGTTGCTTCTGCATACTGTCCTGTGATTGGAGTCAGTGGGAATAATGAACCAGCTTACGCCTCCGAGAAGGGTCCAGGGATCCAAGCCTGATCTCAGGCCAAGCTGACTGCTTTTCTCTCACAGGAGGTGCTGATGCAACTAGCCAAGGCCGTGGCAAGTGCTGCCGCTGCCCTGGTCCTCAAGGCCAAGAGTGTGGCCCAGCGGACAGAGGACTCGGGTCTTCAGACCCAGGTTATTGCTGCGGCGACTCAGTGTGCCCTGTCCACCTCCCAGCTGGTGGCCTGTACCAAGGTGAGTCCCAAAGGTTGCTCTAGCCCAGCGGTTCTCAACCTGTGGGTCGCGACCCCTTTGGCGGTCGAACGACCCTTTCACAAGGGTCGCCTAAGACCATCCTGCATATCAGATATTTACATTACGATTCATAACAGTAGCAACATTACAGTTATGAAGTAGCAACAAAAATAATTTTATGGTTGGGTCACAACATGAGGAACTGTATTTAAAGGGCCAGAAGGTTGAGAACCTCTGCTCTAGCCCATGCTGAAGGCGGGTGCTGCCACCCACACAAGAGCCTCTTATTTTATCTCTCTGGTTCCCGTGGTCTCGTTACCCAACCCAGTGACAAACACCCCACCTCATGACTCCTTTCCCTTGCCTACAATTCTGACATTCAGCTTGCCCACAGGTGGTGGCACCTACAATCAGCTCACCTGTCTGCCAAGAGCAGCTGGTGGAGGCCGGACGACTAGTAGCCAAAGCTGTGGAGGGCTGTGTGTCCGCTTCCCAGGCAGCAACAGAGGATGGGCAGCTATTGAGGGGGGTTGGGGCGGCAGCCACAGCCGTCACGCAGGCCCTGAATGACCTGCTGCAGCATGTGAGGGCCCATGCGACTGGGGCTGGGCCTGCTGGCCGTTACGACCAGGCCACTGACACCATCCTGACTGTCACCGAGAACATCTTCAGCTCCATGGGTGATGCTGGTAAGGACACCACTCCTGGGAAGACAGAGAAGCCCAGTGAGGTTCACCGAGCCCATTGGACATTCCCTTGCAGACCCGCCACCTCCCCCTAAGGACTTAGCACAGGAGACTGGGTTCCCCGTCTGTAAAGCAGGAGTAGAACCCCTGCTCTGCCTTCCGTGGCGCATTGAAGAATATATGAAAGTGTATATAAAAACAGATGGAAGGTGGCATTAGGCACTTTACCCCACCCATCACTCCCTAAAGCCTTTACAAAACGTGTCTCATCCTATTTGCTGAAAATACCCATGGAAGACTTTTCCCTCCCATCGAAGCCCACTGGGAAATTTGTTTCTCTCCAAGATCCTAGATCCAGAAAATAATAACTCCAAGGAAATCACTCAAGAATTTCTCCCCAGTCTCTGTGGTCACAAAAAGCCTCATCTCTGCGTTGTCTGCACCATTGTCCTGCACCCCTGGCACCCTCTCAGTGTCTCGGGTCCTCACCTGATTGTGCCCTGTCCCCTCAGGTGAGATGGTTCGACAGGCCCGCATCCTGGCCCAAGCTACCTCCGACCTGGTCAATGCCATCAAGGCTGATGCCGAAGGGGAGAGTGACCTGGAGAACTCCCGCAAGCTATTAAGCGCTGCCAAGATCCTGGCTGATGCCACAGCCAAGATGGTGGAGGCTGCCAAGGTACAGAGACTTCTGTGCAGACTCCCAGGGTGGGCCCTGAAGGGAAGTAGACCAGTCCAGACGGTCACCCTCATCTGATGGGGAGACCCAGGTGAAGCAGAAAATACAAGAGGACAAATACAGGAGCTCTTAGGAAGTAAATATGTCCCTAAGCTGCCGGTGGACGGCGGCCCAAGCTTCCAGCCAGTATAATTCCCAGAGTCCTTGCTGCCTGATTGGCAACTGTACCCTTTTTCTTCCTTTGAGTCCAAGGTCTGCTGTTTCTACTTTTCCCTACTTTGCTGCCACCACCTGCCTGGATCCCTCTGCTTCCTGGTCTCTCCTGTGAATGCACATAGGCCTCAGCCCCAGGGCCTCTGCTGCTAGCACTGCAAAGACAAAGCAGTAGGACACGGGGCACAGGGTGCAGGGGACCATCAGGAAGAAGCCAGAAGACTCCCCGGCCCCTGGGCTCCGGGTGTTTCAGTTTGCAGGAGTAATCGGGTCCCCTGCTTTGGTATTCCCGAGGTCCCTGCTCCAAACTGCATTCTTGTCCCAGAGAGTCCTGCTCACCCCATTTGCCAGTGGGATTTTGTAGAGAGTGGGGGGAAGAATATGATCCCTTCCCCAAAGAGGAAACGAAACAGTTTCACCTAAAGAAGGGGTTTCAGCATCCCCAAGGGAATCCAGGGTCCACCTCACATTTCCCATCCCCTGGCCTGAGAGGGCTCCTCTCAGTGGTGATCATGACTTCAGGAGAAGAAGTCTGAGTCTGGAGAGGTGAGAGCAGAGCTTATTGAGGGTGACGGCTGTCTCTCTCCACCTCTCAGGGAGCAGCTGCCAACCCTGACAGTGAGGAGCAGCAGCAGCGGCTGCGGGAGGCAGCTGAGGGCCTACGCATGGCGACTAATGCAGCTGCACAGAATGCCATCAAGAAAAAGCTGGTGCAGCGCCTCGAGGTGAGGCTGGGAAATGAACCAGGAGCAATTGTGTGCATGCAGTGGGAGGACTGAGGCTGGGAGGGACCTGTGGAGAGAGTCACTTAATATTTTCTTGGAGGATGGCATGGGCAGGATAGGCCAGGGACTGGGTATGGGAATGCCTGGGGCTTATCCTGACTACTCCTTCCTCACAGCACGCAGCCAAACAGGCTGCCGCCTCAGCTACGCAGACCATTGCTGCAGCCCAACATGCAGCCTCCACCCCCAAGGTCTCTGCTGGCCCCCAGCCCCTGCTGGTGCAGAGCTGCAAGGTGAGACTCCAGGAAGCATGGGGTGGGAGGAGGTGTGGGAGGAGAGGGACTTTCCCCCAGCTTGGGGATGGGGTGACTGTCATGACATTTTCATCTACAGGCTGTGGCAGAGCAGATTCCACTGCTGGTGCAAGGCGTCCGAGGGAGCCAAGCCCAGCCTGACAGTCCCAGCGCCCAGCTAGCTCTCATTGCTGCCAGCCAGAGCTTCCTTCAGGCAAGGCATCTTCTCCCCACCTCTCAGACCAGACCCTTCCCACCCTCCTGTGTCCCCTATAGCTCCCACAATTTAAATCTCTGCCCGTAGCCTCTGTCCCAGTACTCAGCCCAAATGCTCACCACGTCCTGACTATCATCAGTCCTTGTACCAAGCCCAGAGGAAGGATGGTGCCCTTCATCTGCCTACCTATTTCCCTACAGCCAGGTGGGAAGATGGTGGCAGCTGCGAAGGCCTCAGTGCCCACAATTCAGGACCAGGCTTCAGCCATGCAGCTGAGTCAGTGCGCTAAAAACCTTGGCACCGCACTGGCTGAGCTCCGCACCGCTGCCCAGAAGGTATGGGAGCTGGCTGTCTTTTTGGAAGATGAGGGTGGAGTCCTGGGATACTGGGGAATCTGCAGAATAACCTAAAACAGGAATAATCGTGTAACCTGAATCATCAGTGGGACATAGCGGTACCTCGTACATCCCAAACCCCCATGTCATTGTAGGCTCAGGAAGCATGTGGGCCTTTGGAGATGGATTCTGCACTGAGTTTGGTACAGAATCTAGAGAGAGACCTACAGGAGGTGAAGGCAGCTGCTCGAGACGGCAAGCTTAAACCCCTACCTGGGGAGACGGTAAGTATGCTCAAGATCTTGTTCTTACTCGAACCCTGACGTCTTTCTTCCCACCTGTGCCCCAGAGCTTCCCAGACTCTCACTTACCTGTTGGCTGCCCCCAAGTAGCTTCTCAAGTTCCCCCTTCCCAGTCCCCCTTGTATCTGGTCCCCCACCTCTGAGACTCCCCTTTTATCCCTAGATGGAGAAGTGTGCCCAGGACCTGGGCAACAGCACCAAAGCAGTGAGCTCTGCCATCGCCCAGCTGCTGGGGGAGGTTGCCCAGGGCAATGAGAATTATGCAGGTCTGTGGGCAGGGCCCGGAATGGGCATCTGGTGAGGGGGCCGGGGGAGTAGGAGCTGGATGAGGGACGGGGCCTGGCAGAGGAGACCGCTGGGACCAGGGCCTGGTGATGAAGGGTTTTTCCCCCTTCCTTCTTCTCCTGTCTTCCCAGGTATTGCAGCACGGGATGTGGCAGGTGGACTGCGGTCCCTGGCCCAGGCCGCTAGGGGCGTAGCTGCCCTGACATCGGATCCTGCAGTGCAGGCCATCGTGCTTGACACGGCCAGTGATGTCCTGGACAAGGCCAGCAGCCTCATTGAAGAGGCAAAAAAGGCAACTGGCCATCCAGGGGACCCTGAGAACCAGCAGCGGCTTGCCCAGGTCAGGTATTGGGAAGGGGCCACTTCCTCCCTCACCCCCAGATCCCATGAGAAGGCCCACTCCGATGGGCAAAGCCTCATCTGCACTGACAAAGGCACAGCTTCTCAGGTCTGCTCCTGAGGTCTGGACCCCACCCTCTCTCTCCACCCTAGCACACCTTCTCAGGCTGAGGCAGGGACAGCTAAACACCAAGTTTGGGGAAGTTGATCGCTGTTACTTGATACCCTAACTTCAGCCCACTCAGCTACAACACCCCCTTTCCCCTTTCACTTTCAGAGGCAGTAGAGTGTCCCATGGGGAGAGGAGGGGATCTCCCAAATTGTCTCCATTTTGACACCTCATCCCCTTCCTGCCTCAGGTGGCTAAAGCAGTGACCCAGGCACTGAACCGCTGTGTCAGCTGCCTTCCTGGCCAGCGCGATGTGGATAACGCCCTGAGAGCAGTGGGAGATGCCAGCAAGCGACTCCTCAGTGACTCGGTAGGAGGACTGGGGCTTCTCCTTTCATCTCCAGACCTCTCCCTGAGCCCGACTTCCCAGACTTACTCCCTTCCATTGCTCCCAGGCTCTGGGCCCACCTCCCAGCACTCCTTCACCAAGTTCTCCCTCGCATTCTTGCATCCCATGTCTCTCTGACCCTGCAGCTTCCTCCCAGCACCGGGACATTTCAAGAAGCTCAGAGCCGGCTGAATGAAGCAGCTGCTGGGCTGAATCAGGCAGCCACAGAACTGGTGCAGGCCTCTCGGGGGACCCCTCAGGACCTGGCTCGAGCTTCAGGTCGATTTGGACAGGACTTCAGCACCTTCCTGGAAGCTGGCGTGGAGATGGCAGGGCAGGCTCCGGTATGAAGAGGGTTAGATAAGGCACCTGTGTGACCAGGGAGTCCTTTCCTGCTCCTGGCTCCCTCCCCTCCCCAGTCTCTAGCAGTACTTGAGTGTGGAGAGAAGATACCTTTTAGAGACAGGTAAGGAAGGACTGGACAATCTGTTGACTTCCTCACCTTCAACAGAGCCAGGAGGACCGGGCCCAGGTTGTGTCCAATTTGAAGGGCATCTCCATGTCTTCAAGCAAACTTCTTCTGGCTGCCAAGGCCCTGTCCACAGACCCGGCTTCCCCCAACCTCAAGAGTCAGCTGGCTGCAGCTGCCCGGTAAGTAGGAGCTGGGAAGCCCAGCCCTAGAACATTGGAGAGACTGGGAAAGGGGCATTTCACGAGATGTCCCTGGCTTAGAAGTGGTTCCATACAAAAGAGAAATAGCTAGAGACTCCCCATGTATATAGGACCCATGAATGATGACCTGTGCACCCATTCACTGAACTCTCTGCTCCTCGCAGGGCAGTGACCGACAGCATCAACCAGCTCATCACCATGTGCACCCAGCAGGCGCCAGGCCAGAAAGAGTGTGACAATGCCCTGCGAGAACTGGAGGTGGGCACTTGGCAGGGTTGAGGTTGAGGAAGGTGTTCTGGGTTTGGAGTGAGAGAGGTGTCTTACTTGGCTCTCCACCTACACAGACGGTCCGGGAACTCCTAGAGAACCCAGTCCAGCCCATCAGTGACATGTCCTACTTTGGCTGCCTGGACAGTGTAATGGAGAACTCAAAGGTAAATGCAGCCGGGAACCCAGGAGGACAGGGCAGGAATTGGAACTACCCAGGGGTTGCTCTACCCCACTGATGACAGAAGCTGACTCCCCTGACACCCTCTGTTCCTCAGGTACTGGGTGAGGCCATGACTGGCATCTCCCAAAATGCCAAGAATGGGAACCTGCCGGAGTTCGGAGAGGCCATTGCCACAGCTTCCAAGGCCCTCTGTGGGTTCACCGAGGCAGCTGCACAGGTTATTCTCAGTGGCTCCTGGAATGCCCCTGCTTGCCCTACCCCACCTCCTCACAGCCTGACACACGTTATGTTTCCCAAGCCGACTCTGTGGAAACGGGTTCTTTATCCCTCCTGGAGTACAGAGATTTGTCAGTAATCATAGAACACCAACAGTTACGATCAGTGTCTCCCCGAACCCTGGTGCTTTGGGTTATGATTACAGTGTCCAACACTGGGCCTTTTCCAGCCCTCGCTTTCTTGGTATGTACTAATTAGCATATGTCCATAATTTTTCACATAATTATTACTTTATTCAAGTACCATGACTAAATTTCCAGTTATCTGAGTTACCACTTAACTTTGCCTTTTTCCACATTATAAAGTATAAAACAACCTGTGGTAGCTCTGAGAATATTTTGCTTTCATATATGAATTCTTAATACTAGCTTGAGAGTTCATCATCGTGACTTAAAGGCCTGCCGTCCAGCTCCCTCAATCTCCCCTAGCTCCCCTTCCCTTTTCTGTTGGGTGGCCTGCTTTAAATGGCTTGACTTATTCTGGAAGAGCATGAAGAGGAAAAAGCAAAGCTATCATGTGTTGAAGTACAAACCAAGCCTTATGATAGTTTTCCAAGCATACAAAAATTTTGGCAACCATTACACCCTTTCCTCTCTCCAAATCTCTGAAGCTTGGAGGAGTTGTAAATGTTAATTAACCTAATGACCTCCATAGTTTTAGAACTATGTCTTTAAAAGAGGCTTTGCATGCAGGGGGTGGGGTGGGGAGCTTTCTATAGTATCACTATAGTTTACACATACCTCTAATTTAATTTGTTAATAACTTATTAGTGATGGTTTAATTTGTTAATAACCATTTCATTAATATTGTTTAATAACTTAAGTTGTGAATACCTAATTTGTATTGTTTATTAATATTTCTACTCATATAGAACCCTGGTCACTAAACTTACTCCTACTCTCCTTTGTCCCCACTATCACTATTTGATTCCTACCTGAGGAGTATTCTTTATTCCTCACCCCGAATTTCTCTCTCCCCAGGCTGCTTATCTGGTTGGTGTTTCTGACCCCAACAGCCAAGCTGGACAGCAAGGGCTGGTGGAGCCCACACAGTTTGCCCGTGCAAACCAGGCAATTCAGATGGCCTGTCAGAGTTTGGGCGAGCCTGGCTGTACCCAAGCCCAGGTAACTCAAGGGAACAGGTACCATGGGCAAGTCTGGGAAAGGATACTGGCCCCGTGGGGAACGGGGAGATGCAGGGCGTGTGGAGAAGGAGAGGGCGGAGAGCCATCTCTCGGCTTCCACGCTTCCACACACAGCTTCTCTTTGGGTCACTGTCTTTTCCTGCCACATTTCTCATCATTCTTTCAGTTACTGCTGAGTTCACAATTACTCTGTAGATGCTTGAACTTACTCTCCTACTGACCTATTAGAAGTTTTCCCCCCTCCCTCACACCCTGTTCATCTTTGGGAATCTCTGTCTCCCAAATCTTTCCTAATTAGATTTCCAAAGGTATCACTCTCATCCCCCAACCTATAGTGGCTCCTCCCTGAGTGTGTACCCTTCCCTCCTGCCCTCATCATGGCTCTTCCACGTGTCTGTCTCCTCAGGTGCTCTCTGCAGCTACCATTGTGGCCAAACACACCTCGGCACTGTGTAACAGCTGCCGCCTGGCTTCTGCTCGTACCGCCAATCCTACCGCCAAGCGCCAGTTTGTCCAATCAGCCAAGGAGGTGGCCAACAGCACAGCCAATCTTGTCAAGACCATCAAGGTTCCCAGTGTTTGAATTCCCGGCCTTTCCCTGACCTGTCCAGTCTTCTCTCCCCTGAGTCCCCCCACCATCATCCCCCCAGGCCTTTACCAAATCCCGTCTTCCTGAGCCAAGCCCTTTCCCATTCTTACTGGTCATTACCCGCCTGTCCCCACACCTTGAAGCCCAGGAGGGAGACCTGGGCTTCACCTCCTTTGCCTACAATCCGTCCTGAGGGCCTCTCTGTCTCCCACTTGCAGGCGCTAGACGGGGCCTTCACGGACGAGAACCGTGCCCAGTGCCAAGCAGCAACAGCCCCTCTGCTGGAGGCTGTGGACAATCTGAGTGCCTTTGCATCCAACCCTGAGTTTGCCAGCATTCCTGCCCAGATCAGCCCTGAGGTGAGGCCACGTGAAGGGAGGACTGATGAGCCAGCTGCCACCTCATCTCCTTGGGAGTCATGAGACTCACCTCCCTCCTCTCTTCCCAGGGCCGAGCTGCCATGGAGCCCATTGTGATCTCTGCCAAGACAATGCTGGAGAGCGCTGGGGGACTGATCCAGACGGCTCGGGCCCTGGCAGTCAATCCCCGGGACCCTCCCCGCTGGTCAGTGCTGGCTGGCCACTCCCGCACTGTCTCGGACTCCATCAAGAAGCTTATTACAAGCATGAGGTACTGAGGGGATGGAGAACCAGTGTGATGGGGGGACATGCACTGTGGCAGAATGGAGGGGTGGGTGCGGAGGTGCAATTAGATGGGATAGTGTCGGGGACACCTGCTGTCGGATTCGGAGGATACGGGGATAGATAGGCTAGCTTTGTTTTAGGGGATATTCTTGGTGGTAGAGCCTCTGATGTGTCTGCAGGGACAAGGCTCCAGGGCAGCTGGAGTGTGAGGCGGCCATCGCAGCTCTGAACAGCTGTCTGCGGGACCTCGACCAGGCTTCCCTTGCTGCGGTCAGCCAGCAGCTTGCTCCCCGCGAGGGGATCTCTCAGGAGGTAAGGGAAGTGGGTATGTGAAAGGTTGTGTCTGAGAAGAGAGAGGACAGACTTGAAGACAGGGATGCAGGAAGGGGCTTCACAGAGACATCAAGAGGCTGCAACATGCCAGGGGGAGTTAGCTTGGTATGGAAGGGAGCGTGGGGTCTGTGCGAGCAGAGGGTCCTAGTCCAGGTCCCAGGCTAAAGTCCACTTCCTCTGCAGGCCTTGCACACTCAGATGCTCACTGCAGTGCAGGAAATCTCCCACCTTATTGAGCCACTGGCCAGTGCTGCCCGGGCTGAAGCCTCCCAGCTGGGACACAAGGTATTTGGGGAGACGCGTGAGCGTTCCGGGGGTAAGGTGAAAGAGGGCACCTGGCCTCGCTGACCGCCATCCCAACCCCTGCCTCAGGTGTCTCAGATGGTGCAGTACTTTGAGCCACTCACCCTGGCTGCAGTGGGTGCTGCCTCCAAGACCCTGAGCCACCCACAGCAGATGGCACTCCTGGACCAGACTAAAACCTTGGCAGAGTCTGCCTTGCAGCTGCTGTACACAGCCAAGGAGGCTGGCGGCAACCCCAAGGTATTGAGGTCTGGGAGGGAGGGGCTGCTGGTTAGTGGTTAGAGGAGCAGGAGCAGGCCTGCCCTCCACTCACTCACTCTCACCCACAGCAAGCAGCTCACACCCAGGAAGCCCTGGAGGAGGCTGTGCAGATGATGACAGAGGCTGTAGAGGACCTGACAACAACCCTCAATGAGGCAGCCAGTGCTGCTGGGGTCGTCGGTGGCATGGTGGACTCCATCAGCCAGGCCATCAACCAGGTTAGCGTCTTGGGGTGCCTGTGGGCACTGAGGCTACCCAGGGCCAGGGTTCCTGAGCACAGTGGCAGAGACCCTGACGATCTTTCCCCTTCCCTCGTTCTCCCCCTCAGCTAGATGAAGGACCAATGGGTGAACCAGAAGGTTCCTTTGTGGATTACCAGACAACTATGGTGCGGACAGCCAAAGCCATTGCCGTCACCGTTCAAGAGATGGTGAGTTTGGAAGAGTATAAGAGGACTGCCCTCGGGGAGCTGAGTTTGGACATAACTTCACCCTTCCCATCATTCCCAGGTAACCAAGTCCAACACCAGCCCTGAGGAGCTGGGCCCTCTTGCTAACCAGCTGACCAGTGACTATGGACGTCTGGCCTTACAGGCCAAGCCTGCAGCAGTTGCTGCTGAAAACGAAGAGGTAAACATGGAAGCAGCTGTGACCTTCCCCCTGCTCCTCACAGAGAACCCCAGTGGCATGTCCCTTGTCCCCATCATGTCAGCCTTTGTGGCTGACAACTCCCTCTAGTCTTCGTAGAACGAGGAACACACCCTCAGGGCCATTCCACTGAAGAGCGATCAGAGCTTTGTGTGGGGACAGGCTCAGAGCCTTCAGGTACAGGGATGAGGGAGACAGCCTGGGATGTAGGGTTTCCCAGTCTGCTGTTGTTGCCTCTGCCAACCCTCTTCTGGGCCTGTGGCTGCTGCTCTGCTGCAAGTCTGTATGCCCTTCTCAGTTCTACTTTGTTGCAGAGCCATGGAGCCCTTCCTTCCCTAAGCTCCTGGCTTTCCAAGAAAGCTAGTAATTGAATCTCAGCAAGACACACCTAATCCCCACCCCAAAACCCTCCACAACCACATACAGGCCAAGTTGTAATCCATGGCCCTGTGATTTCAAATGCCCCCGCATACAGTGCTTCTCCACTCTCCTCTTCACTGCTTAACACCATCCTCACCAGCCGGTACCCACATGCTATTATTATCCATGTGTAGGAGGTGACCTCCTGTCGAAAGGATATGAAACAGGAAAAGTCTGTGCTGCGATGCATGTTTTCTTAGGTACTTGGTGACTCTCCCAGGCACAGTGGAAATGTCTGTGCCTCTGGTAAAACCCATCTCCCTTTCCCATCTGCTCACAGATAGGTGCCCACATCAAGCACCGGGTCCAGGAGCTGGGGCACGGCTGTTCTGCTCTGGTCACCAAGGCAGGCGCCCTGCAGTGCAGCCCCAGTGACGCCTACACCAAAAAGGAACTCATAGAGTGTGCCCGGAGAGTCTCAGAAAAGGTGACAGTGCTCATCCATGGCCTCCAACCCCACCGCCTTTCCCCGCCCTCTCCTCTGTGCCTTCTCCCAGGCACCCAGTGACCTGTCACAGTCACCGTGTGACTACCCTCCCCTAGGTCTCCCACGTGCTGGCTGCACTCCAAGCCGGGAATCGTGGCACCCAGGCCTGCATCACAGCGGCCAGTGCTGTGTCCGGCATCATTGCCGACCTGGACACCACCATCATGTTTGCGACAGCCGGCACACTCAATCGCGAGGGTGCTGAAACTTTCGCTGACCACCGGTGAGGAGCGGATGGGGTCTCAGGGAGGCGGGGTGGGGTGGGGCCTGGAGAGGCTGGAGGGCAAGGGACCTGAGGAGAGCTGACTGGGCTGGGCCTCCCTCAGGGAGGGCATTCTGAAGACCGCGAAGGTGCTGGTGGAGGACACCAAGGTCCTGGTGCAGAATGCCGCCGGGAGCCAGGAGAAGTTGGCACAGGCCGCCCAGTCCTCTGTGTCCACCATCACCCGCCTCGCTGATGTGGTCAAGCTGGGTGCAGCCAGCCTGGGATCCGAGGACCCTGAGACCCAGGTATCCACCTAACACCCCTAATTCTGGTCAGATGCACTTCCTGTTCCCCCTTTTCCTCCCACAGACCAGAGCCTCTGCTCTCCCACACAGGTGGTGCTGATCAACGCCGTGAAAGATGTGGCCAAGGCCCTGGGAGACCTCATCAGTGCCACAAAGGCTGCAGCCGGCAAAGTCGGGGATGACCCTGCTGTGTGGCAGCTCAAGAACTCTGCCAAGGTTGGGGAGCATGAGCACAGCCTCGGGAGAGGGAATGGGTCCAAGTGCTTCCTCCTGTTCCTTCAAATGACCCTCCCCACTCCGCTGACACCCCTAGGTGATGGTGACCAACGTGACATCATTGCTCAAGACTGTGAAAGCTGTGGAAGATGAGGCGACCAAAGGCACACGGGCCCTGGAGGCAACCACAGAACACATACGGCAGGAACTGGCGGTGAGCGCGCGTCGGGGCTGCAGGGCCTCGAGTCAGAGAGGGATCGTGTGAGACTGCAGCTGCACCTCACATGTATTCACAGAAATGTAAACAGTCACACACATTCCCCTCGCGCATCGCCAGACTTCTCAAATGGGCTACGCTCGGGCTTCCCCTCCTCACCTTTTCACTCAGCATTTTACAACTGTCTTCTTTCACCACCATCCTCCCGCTTTCTCCCGTCACAGTGGCCTACTTGCCGCAATGGAGTGTGGAAATAAGCCTCTCTTTAAAACTCTTTCTTCCTTTGGCTTTCGGGACACTGGTTTTTCTCTTGCCTCTAACATCTCCTCTATAGTCGTCATTGCATCACCTTCAACCTAGTGAATGAAGAGGCCGTCCCCACATCGTACAGAGAGCCTCTTCCTCTCTTCTCTTTGGCAAATTCAACCACTTTCATTATTGTTCTCTAAGAAGTTGACTCCCAATTCGGAGGTTAGTTATTTTCATCAGCCTGTTTGACATTAGCACCGGGGTGCAGTGCCTTCCAGCCAGCTCTCCTTCCTGACATGCTACTTCCTTCCTGTGGATGGTGGTAACAACCTCCCAGGCATAAAGAGTCCCTCAGTCATCTTTGACTTCACTGCCTTATTCACCATATCAGGCCATTGCCAAGTCCTTCCAGCTACCCTTCTCCATTCTCTTTCCTCTCCAGGCCCAGTCAGCACTCATTCAGCTTTCTACTCGCCCTCCCTCACTGGGCTGCTACACCCGTTTTCACGGGTCTCCCTGCCTTTAGTCTCTGGCAGTTCCACCTCTCCTCCTCATCTTTCTCACTTCTGAAGTCATCCTTCTGCTATGCTGTTTTCATCTCTAATTGGAGATGTCCAAATGGAAACTTTTCCCTTTCTGCCTCCCGGATCTGATTACTCCCTCGTCCCTCCCATCTCAGGAAATGTCACCTGTCAGTAACTCAGTCCTAAAGCCAGAAACCCAGCTTTAATGTTTTTCTCTTGTTCCCCACATCTAAGCCCATTAGCAAGTCTTGATAAATCCTCCCTCCGGATCTCATTGTCTCTTCTCCCTCATCTCTACCACCCACCACCTCATCCAACCCATCATCAATCCCTTAGTTATATTTATGCTATAGCCTCAATCTCATCTCTCATCTCCCTTGCTTTCTTTAATTCACCCCCCCCAATCCATTTTCTCTACACACAT